AATAGGCATTTGATTCTTCATATAACTACATTTAGTTTCAGCTGGAAATCACATATTTTATTCTTATTTATTTGTGATATTTAAAAGGAAAAAAATATATATATTTAAATTTTTTCGAACCTTTCCTACTAATGCTGATCTTATTCCGACGGCAAATTCACTCTCAGCACCACCAAACCATCCAACCGGGCCAGCATACATACCTCGGTCAAACATTTCTGAATAACTGAAACAGATTAATTTCCAAAAAGGAAAAAAAAAAAAGAATCACCAAGAAAAATGGCTGGAAAATACTGAAATGTACAGTGAGTGTGCAATTTATATTAAATCATTACCAATTTGGTGTTATTAACTGGGTATAAAAAATACACGGGAATCCTACGAACTGATATGTATTTTTCAGTTCTTACAAATAATCTAAAAAATAGAAAATTACAATAGAACTGAAAAAATAAATTACAATTGAAAAATAAATTAAAACCTAAAACGGAAAGATTTTAGCCGAGGCGAGTAAAACTCTTTCCGCAAGAAGAATACGCCCCGTGTGTCAGCTAACGGTTCAGGCGTAACTTCCCCAAAGATACAACGGCAAACGTCTCTAAATCTGTAGCACACCAGATTTACGAGCTCCGGCGAACTAGAACGGAGTCGAGAATTGAGCACTAAAAAATAAGAATAAAAATATCACTCTTTTGTTATTTTGATAACAAATAAATATATTTTTTATATTTTCCTATTCTTTCTTTCTCTCTATCTTTCTCTTCTTTTCTTCCGTATGGTGCATTTCTCCTTCTGCTGAATATGCCTATTTATAGGCAGAGGAAAGGAATCAGATTGGCCAATTGTCCCACCTTCTACGCAGTTTCATTTCACAAATTGCAATAATATATATATTTGGTTATTCATGATGAGCAGCTCAAGTTGCAATATGGACAACAATTATAATGTTTTTAATACAACATGAGTTGGCTGCACCACTCAATTACACTTTTCTTTAACATTTGGAGTGTTTTATACTAAAATAATTTCAACTGTTCAAAGTTACTTAAAGTGTTCCCAATGAATGCAAGGGAATCAGGTGGCTGAAGACAAAATTGGTACGAGTTAACACCTTCAACCTACAAGAATCAAGAACTGTGTGTTATAAAATCACCTCATTGTTACATCAGTGGTTAAAAAAAATTTTAACTCCGGTAAAAGTAAAAGAACCTGCAAGCTCGATAACCATTCTAAAGGATCAATCTCAACCGTGGTCAGAATTCTACTGCTACGTGCAAGCACAACCTGTAATTTTCAGAAAGAAATCCAATCGTAACTCACAAAAACTTGAAATAAAAGAGAAAAAAAATACATGGTAAAAAATGACAAAACAAAGGAGAATATAAAGGGGAAAAAAAAAGAACCTTAACAAGCGAGGAGTTTTTCCTGCTAATCAAGTCCAAAGCTCGTTTAACAGCTTGATCCCACGAAGCTTTGTTCGGAACATGAGTATGATGGAGGACAGCAGCACGATGAGAGCTACCATTTATTCTCCGAACGAGTGTTGAAACCTGCAATTAATGCAGAAAAAT